GCCTTTCGGCTTTCTTGCAGGGAAATTTGAACTTCTTCTCGCTAACGTCTAGCTCCGCTCCATGGTTTCTTCGAGGAGTTGGGTTTAGGGTTTAGGGTTTAGGGTTTAGGGTTTCGGGTTTAGGGCTTGGGGTTTAAGGTTTAGGGTTTAGGGTTTAGGGTTTAGGGATTGGGGTTTAAGGTTAAGGGTTTAGGGTTTAGGGATTGGGGGTTATTTTAAGGTTTAGGGTTTAAGGTTCAAGCCTAAGACCTCAGACCCTAAAGCCAAAGCCTAAGAATCATACCTCCAGCAGCCCAATCCTGAAATGCCCAAGCCCTATCAACTCGCTTTACCCGAAACACCCTATGCCCTAGAGTAACCGACTTTGAAAGCCCCCCCAAAGCCTGAAATCCGGCGTCTTTCAACTCATCCGGGCGTCAGGTAGAGGCGGAGCAGACCACGGTGATGCTCAAGGACTCGCCAAGAAGAGTCGATGAGGGGTCCCAGGGTTTAGGGTTTAGGGTTTAGGGGTTTAGGGTTTAGGGTTTAGGGTCATAACGTAATAGCGGAGACTATGAGAAATACTGTACGTGGTAGCTTTCAGGGATGCTGCCTCAACCCTAAACCCTGAACCCTAAACCCCAAACCCTAAACTCCAACCCCAGACCCAAACCCTAAACCCGGAACCCTAAACCCTAGACCCAAACCCAAACCCTAAACCCTAACATGCGATTCGTATGAGGGTTATTGAAAGGTCACCGGACCGGCTCTGGGTTCAGGGTTGAGGGTGTAGGACTGTAGGGTAGAGGGCCCTGGCTGAGGGACCGATGGTTTAGGGATTTAGGGTTAAGGTTGACTTAGGTTTAGGGTGAAGGTTTACTTAGGGCTTATAGACCTATATAATAGTTTTATGCGACTAGCGTGTTCGCAATTGCGGGTGAAAGGCGGTTTTGCCTTTCGAGTTGACGGTGTCGGGTCTAGGCTTTTCGGATTTGTGGCTTTGAGGTTTCGGGTTCAGGGTTGGCTGTTTTGGGGACCCTAAACCCTAAACCCTAAACCGGGTTTATAGGGGGGGTTTCTGTTTCGGGTTTAGGAGTTATAGCCTCATGATCTTCAGCAGTACTTTCAACTCCTTATCCCGCGTGGAACCTGTAGGATGTCGGGACCAAGCCCTCACCCCTAAACCCCAAACCCCTAAACCCCGAAACCCCGGAACCCC